TTGAGTGCAGAAGGTGGATCTGCTGGTCCTCAGGATCTCCTCTGAACCCAAAGAAAGTGATTCTCTGGCTACCATGGGGGCAAAGCTGGCAGAAGCGAGAAGCGGACCAGAAGCCTTCAGGACCAAGCAGGGTGTTCTGGCTGCTGTTCCTGGTGTTCTTCAGAAAGAAGCAGCCTTCAAGGGAGCAGAAAATCCTGCCTGATTGGAATTACAGTAGACTTGACTTGTGTCGTCGTCCCCCTGCCCCCCCGCCCCATATGGCCAGCAGGACCTTCTGGCTGGTTTTCCTAATCATTCTCTTGCCTGCAACATGATGGAGGCTGCTGGGAATCACCTCTCTCGTCCGGCGTGACCCACTTGGAGGCTGCCGGCATTTTCTACCCCAAGCAAGAACTTCCACTCTGTGGTTGCTTGGTGACAATCTGCTGTCCCGCGCTTTGTGCTGGGCTCAGGTCATTGTGTGCAACCAGCTGTGGTGGCTGGTGAGCCATAGTGGAGCAGCACGGGAGAGGAGCTCTGGTGGTTGTGGGAGGTGCCAGCTCAGCAGTTGGGTTGCCATGCTTTGTGTCGATTACTGTGCGCAGGGGGTTGTCTTGGTAGGCAGAGCATTGGACAGGGAGCAGTGAGTGGCCTTGGCTGCCTTGCTGGAGGAGGAGAGCAAATGGACCCACATCTGGGGAGCCTGAGCTGCTGCAGGCGGATGGGCTGTTCCCAGGTGGAAAGGCTCATCTGGGCATCGTGTCCAGGGCTGGTGTTGAGCTGTTAACCAGGGAGCGGCTCTTTGCCTCCGGATGGTCCCCTTCGGGAGAGCAGCAGAGAGTCTTGGACTGGGTGACAGCTGGTGTTTACTTTGTGCTAAGATGTGTTAAAAAACATTTTAGTCGGTAGCTGCATTGAGCTCCCTTGCAAGACAAGGGAAGGGCAGCTGCTGTGAGTTTCCTCCTTTCTGCGGGAGGGGGGGAGGCAAAATGCAGCAGGGAGGGTTACAAAATACAGAGCTGGGCTCCCCCGTGAAGCCTGGCCCAGGGAAAGGCCCACCAGGCTCCCGTAGCAGAGCTGCCTTTGAAGCATTTTCGTCTGCTCTCCCGCTGGCTGCTGGGGGGGGGGGGTGTCCTGTGTGTGTCTGCATTCCTGCTTCCCTCCCACTCGGTGGAGAGAGACGTGGGATCCTTCCTCTGGGTTTGGTGCTGGGGAATCTTTCAAAGGCCTCTCCTTCATTGTAAACCTGGGCACTGTCTATAGAAGACGGGGAGAGCAGTTGGGGGAAGCCCCCCCCCCCCCCCGCAAAGACCCTCCACATCCGGGGTCCTTATTGCCCATGGCATCCTCCATACCTCCAACTCTGTAGTTTTCCAGAGAAGCCTGGAATGGTCTTTCAGTTTCCTTATTATAAATCCCAACATTCACCTGACAGGAAAACCTGAAGGAAGGAAGGACCAAACATCCCTGATTTGCTTAGAGGGGTTTGAGTCTGTGGATATCGCGAACCTGCAATTCAAAACCTGCTGGAAGCAAAAGGCAGAAATGAGCAACACTGCAGGGGTGGTAGCTGTGTGTGTGGCTTAGCACACACACACACACACACACACACACGCACGCGCACACACCCCGATGCTAAGAGAGCAGTGGAGGCCTGGCGTGTTGCTTAGCCTGTTGGCTCATAGGTGCTCTGGACAGGAGTGGCTCCCAAGGCAGGAAGGCAGGAACTTTCTCCACGGCGGCTTCAGAACGTTGCAAAGAAGTTGCTTCTTCATCCCCATTCATGCTTACCTTGGTTTACTCTCCAGCCCCCGCAATATCAACCCAAACCCGGTTCCTTCGCAGGTCAAAGGAAAGGCCAGTTTTAATGGGGCCCCAACGCAGGCACAGGCAAAGCGAGTGGGCTTGCAACTGAAACTGCCTCCTTTGAGGAGGGTCTCTTGGCTCAAAGCCCCCCCACCCCATCCCCGACTGCTGGCCTGGCTGCGGGAGACAAAAGCTGCCTGGCCACACAGAGCCCACTGGGACGTGAATGTGCCCAGCGTTCCCCTGGGCCAGCGGGAGCGTTGCCAGGGTTCCCGGCTGACCTCTGGAGGGCCAGGCCACACTTGGAAGCGCCAGGCAGCCGCTCCGGCCAGCACAGCTGACCTGGCTTCCCTCCAGTGTCCAGATTCACATTCTTTTGTTGAGGGGGGGGGCAGGCATTGCTGAGGAAGGCTTTTCATCTGCTCGGGGGGGGGGGGGGGGGGTGGGGGGGGCGCCCGGGGCCCCCCCCGGGGGGGGCCGCCCCAAAGGGGGGGGGGGGGGGGGGGGGCTCTTTTTCTGCAGCTCTACAAAGAGATGGACGTCTCCGGTTTCAAGAGGGCAGCTTTCCCCCTCCTCTGGAGGCCAACCCTGCAGAAAGGCTGCCCCCTGAACCTGCCCACCCGCTCCCCAGGCCCCCCGCACAGGTTGCCCTGCTTGGCTTGCGTGGTCTGGTCACCCAGGAGATTTCCCCCTTTGGATGCCTACCCACCTGCCTAGTCTGGCGGGCGCTGGACCCTCCCTGCCCTGCCCTTCCAAAGGAGGGTACAGGCTTCGGGATCCCCTCCGCTTTTACACATTGCTGTTGGAGCCAGAGTTTGCCACACAGCTCTCCTGGCACAGCAGTTTGCCATCCTGCCTCCTTTCTTTTGCTGGGGAGAAAATTCTGTGCAAAGGGAGGAGGCGGATGTGGCCGCTGCCCATTGCAAGGGAAGAGAGTCAGGGGGCTGGCATGCCCTGAAGCCCTCACTTCTCCATAAGTCTCAGCTACAGTCCAGCTACTCTCCGAGGCCACCCTCTTGCCAAGCGGCAGGAGACGAGGTGACTCAGGGCCACACTGAGAAGCACCTGGGAAGGGGGGGGGGCTGTGGGGACTGGGCCGAGGAACCTCCCACCCCCTCCATTGGTCTCCCTTAGGCACAACTGGGTTTCCTTCCTCTATTTAATTTGGGGCGGGGGGGCACCCCAGAGCTCACCCTGCTACTTGTGGGTCAGCCCTCTTGTGACTGCCAGACCTGCGAGGAGCAGCCCCGGCTGAGATATCCTGGCAGAGGTGATGAATAGGGCCTGGTAGGAGAGACAGATGGCTGGGACCCTCCCCCATGACTGCATCTGGAATGCCCCTTCCTCTTTATCCACGAAAGCTTTTGTTCTGTCTCTCCAGCAGGACGGATTTATTAGGCCTCTACACCTCTCCAAGGGAAACACAATGCTGAAAAACCAGTCCTTCATGCTTTGATCCATGTGTTTTTCAGCTCACACACACACACACCCCATTCACACTTCTGGCAATTCTGTTGCAGCAGAGCAGGCTGGGCGAAAGGTGGGGGGGTGTCCCTGCAGAGCCCTTGCTCCCCAGGATGCTCTTCTGGCCAGGGTCCCCCCCCCCCCCCCCCCAACTCCCACAGGAGAGCCACAGCCCTTAGACTCACCTACTGCCCCACAAGGCTTCTAAACTACCTTCCTTTCAGGTGGCTGGTTCTAGCTGTGTGCCTGTGTGTGTAGGTATGTGTGTAAGAGAGAGAGAGGAAAGCAACAGAGGTGCTGCACAGCCTCCTTCCATTGACAATTTCTGCAGTGTCCAGAGCCCCAAGGAGATGCTGCTGATGCAGTTCTACAGAGGGATTGTTGAGTCTGTCATCTGCACCTCTAGAACTGTCTGGTTTGGTTCTGCAACCCAACAGGACAGACACAGACTTCAGAGAGTAATTAGGACTGCAGAAAAAACAATTACTACCCACCTGCCTTCCATCGAGGACCTGTATACTGCACAGCTCAATATTTACAGACCCCTCACATCCCGGACATAAACTGTTTCAACTCCAACTCTCAAAACAATGCTATAGAGCCCTGCACACCAGAACTACTAGACACAAGGACAGTTTTTCCCCGAAAGCCATCACTCTGCTAAACAAATAATTCCCTCAACACTGTTCAACTATTTACAAAGTGTGCACTACTATTACTGTTAATCTTCTCATCACTCCTTATCACCCATCCCCTCCCACTTGTGATTGTAGGACTGTAACTTTGTTGCTTGTATCCTTACAATTTATATTGACTGTTTCCTAGTATGATTTGATTGTTGATTGTACCCTATGGCCATCATTAAGTGTTGTACGCTATGATTCTTGAGCCTTAATGAATGTACCTTTATGTATACTAAGAGTATTTACACCAAGACAAATTCTTTGTGTGTCGAATCCCACTTGGCCAATAAAGAATTCTGTTCTGTTCTGTTCTGTTCTGGACCGGAGCCCCCTTGGGTTTTTGCACTGCTGGGTGGGGAGCAGGGTCCCAAGGCAAATGCCCTTCCTTCCTCCTTTGCTGTGTCGCAGGAAATGTTCTTCCTTTGGGGCACTCTTGATCCTCCATGAGGGTAATGGGATGCATGTGTGGCGGTAATGACAGAAAGGGAGGGGGGACTTGCAGCCCTTTCCTGAAGGCAAACGGGGGTCTCTTCTGTCTGGTTCTGTGAACAGAGCAGAGCCCAGAATTTCCAGGGGGGCATTGGGGTTTCTCTGTAATTGACTGGCACTGGAACCGTACTTTTGTGCTTCTTCCTTGTGGAGCACTGGTGCATTTCTTCACCAAGAGGGCAAACAGGTTGGTTATCCAGCAAAGAAGCCAGAGAGACTCCAGGCAGGCAAAGTGGCTCCTGCCTGCTCAGTTGACCCCAGGAAGACCTTGCTGATAAGGCTCCCTCTTATCAGCAGCATTGGAGTTTATTGAGGCGCAACTTAGCAGTGCTGATAAGGCCCCTGGGAGGGCAGGGGAAGGCACCGCCAGGGAGGCTGCCTTTCACAGAGGGGCCCCAGTGTCCCGCTGATTCCCAGAGGGGCTCCTAGCCGCCTTCTCAAAGACCTCCTGGGACTCCTCAGAATGAGCCTGTCACTGCAAGATAACGGGGTACATTGCGCTGCTGGCCTTTCTTAAATGCAGCCCTTCTTCCCCACTGGGGTTCGTTCAGCCTCTCCTCTTCCCCCTCTTCCTTTCAGCCCTCTCTGCCTTTGAAGTCCAGCCTCTCCCCACAGAGGTCCATGAAGGGGGTGTGGCTAGATTTGCCTGCAAAATCCCGGCCCACCCTCCAGCCATCATCACCTGGGAGGTAAATGGGACAGCACTGCTAATGGAGACGGAGAGGTAAGTTTTGGGGGGTTCTCCTGGGCCCCTCTAAACCTCAGGAGGTGGGACATGGGGCATCTCCCTTTCAGCCTGCCCCATAGCCCCGTGAGGGGAGGGGGGAGGATGCAGGGGGCCCGAGTCTGCCACCCGCCTTGGCTGTGGGTTGAAATGGATGCCGAGATGCAAAAGCAGCACCACTCACAAGGTGCAGTTGCCAGCTTCAGGCAGGCATTTCCCGTTTTGATTTTGGGAAAGCGAAAGGGTGGCATTTGAAGCCAGAACATGATTCTGCCTTCCAAAATGCCGATTCCTTGTTGCGTCCTCCTGCAATCTGGACTATTCCAGCAGGGAGGGTTGTGGAGGGTCCCTGGGGTCCCCTTCCTACTCTGGCCCAAAGCAGCCCAATCGGCTTGCAGGCGGCCTGGCGGGGAGGGGAAGGCAGACACACACACACACACACACACACACGGGAAGCGCAGGTGGGCTTTCTCTCCTACCGCCATTCTGTCCTTCCAGGATAACGGTGCTGCCATCTGGAGTACTACAGATTTATAGCGTTGAGCCAAAAGATGCAGGGAGTTACCGTTGTATTGCTACAACAGTTGTTGGCCGGCGGAGGAGTGGCGAGGCTAAACTCACTGTTGCTCCAGGTATCCAGAAAATCTTGCTCCTTTTCAAACATTACTGGTGGCAAACAATCGTGTTCAGAATCTTCACCAAAGTGATGAATTCCATTTCTGAGGCTTGAAATTGTTCGCCTTGGATGTATGTGGACAACACGTTTCTGTTGTATGCATTTTGTTTTCAACAGCTACCAATATGAAACTCTTCCATAAGCCATCCATTATAGCTGGCCCCCAAAATACGACGGCCTCTCTCCACCAAACGGTCATCTTTGAGTGTGTGGCCATCGGGAATCCAAAACCAATTGTGTCCTGGAGTCGCCTTGGTGAGTGGCAGATGGTCCACAGTGGCTCTTTGCCTTCCAGCTGTGGGGAAATGAAAGGTACCACCAATTGCAGGTTGCATGAGGGAGAATAAGTGGGAAACCCTTTTGAGTGTGCCACATTCATTGTTGCTGCCCACAAAAGGTTGCCACGCAAAAAGGGAAATTGTCCCTTTGAAGTTCTCAGTCAGTGCCCCCAGAGTTGGGAAGGAAAACTTGCACTGGAGAGAACGGTCATATATGGCAGATGGTAGGCTTGGCCAGCTTTTCCCGGCTGATGGGCATCTGACTGTGACTTGTGGCAGAAGCTCCTGCACCATCCGTGCCAGCTGAAAAGAGTCCATTCGGGGCAGAAAGCTAAAAACTGCTTGCCTTTTGCTAAATGCTTCTCGACATCGCAAGATCAGCTGGTTGTGCAATCCTTGTATATCCTGATGCACAGCATCAGAAGCGGGGAAGTGGCCAGCCTTTGCTATCAGGGGCACTAGAGGGGTCTGCTGGCATTTCTCCAGAGGTCTGACATTTGGGTGAATGTCTGAGATTCTACTTCGCGGAGATTTTAGAGGGGACGAGGCAGGCCAGGGTAGGAACCACCACAAACCAAGGCAGATGGTTGAAATGTCCCTCTCAAAACAGACCACAAGTCCATCGATGTTTTCAACACACGGGTGCTTGGAAATGGGAACCTCATGATCTCGGATGTGAAGATACAACATTCTGGCGTGTACGTTTGCCGTGCTACAATCCCTGGCACACGCAACTTCACCACGGCAATGGCAACACTGCTGGTGCTAGGTGAGGAGCGAGTTGGAGGAGGTTTAGTTGTGGCCAGGGCGGGACCTCACTGCTTGCATGGGGCTCTTCTGCTGGAGGCCAGGCGGGGAGATCCGAGGTGGCCTTTCAAGCCAAGTCCCGTGGCACAGAGGGGCCTTTGATAAGCTGCACAGGCTGCCTTGGACCGAGGTGGGCCAGGCTTTCTGAGGAGCCTCTGTCAGAAATGGGCCTGGGTCCCCGGGATGGACACTTGAGACAGTTGAGGGAGAAGGCGAAATGGGTCCCGCCTCCTGTTTCTTGCAGCCCCCCCTGCTTTTCTGGAGTGGCCAGAGAGTTTGACCAGGCCACGGGCTGGCACAGCCCGTTTTGCCTGCCAGGCAGAAGGCGTCCCAACCCCCAAGATAGCCTGGCTGAAGAATGGCCGGAAGATCCATTCCAATGGCAGAATCAAGACCTACAGCAGGTAGGGAAGCCGGCTGCTTGGCCCTCGGATCTCTAAGAAGGAGCGGTCCTGCCCAGGTGAGGGGCAGACATGTAGCCCAGGGGGAGGACTGGGCCTGCTCTTGGGAAAACTGGGACAGTGCCCTTCCCTCAGGTCAGGTTCTGTTGAAGAGATGCTTGAGAAACGCTGCTCCTCCATGGAATCTGATGGGCAGAATAGTGGCACGACGGAGGCACTCAGCCCCCCCCCCCCTTCCCAGCACTGCTCTGTGGGCAAGGCTTAAAGGCTGGTGGAGTCACATGGTTATGGACTGGCTGGCTGGCGCATCCTTCACTTCTCACCTGCCTGCTTTGGCTCCCTTCTAATGCCTTCCCTCTTCACTTTTTCAGTAAATTGGTGATCAACCAGATCATCCCTGAAGACGATGCCATCTACCAGTGTGTGGCTGAGAACAGTCAGGGGTCTGTCCTTGCCAGGGCACGCCTAACAGTGGTTCTCTCTGAAGACCGGCCCAGCGCACCTTGCAATGTCCATGCAGAAACCATGTCAAGCTCAGCCATTCTCTTGGCGTGGGAGAGGCCGCTGTATAATTCAGACAAAGTGATTGCCTACTCGGTGCACTATATGAAGGCGGAAGGTGAGTTGAGCAGGGCTGCTGTGCGCCTCTTGAGCCATGGAAAGAGAGCGTCCGCACTGGAGCCGCCACTGCTGCTGCTGCTGCTGCTGCTGCTGTGGAGGGAGGGGTGAAAAACTCTTGGTGCCAGGAGCCTTCTGGGCCCATGTGGGACCGACCGTGGAGCTGCTTCTGTGGGTGAAGGACCTTCAGGGTTTTCAGCAGCAGAGGCAGCCGTATCTTCCTTCTCATCATATTGTACATTTTGGCATTTATTAAATACTTCTTTAAAAGATCACCAGATATTTGGAAAATAGTGCATAAATTAGTTGGACTGAAAAGCTGATATTGATTCATTCCAGCAAATATTTCACTAGTCTTGAAAAAGACCCATTTGAGGGTGCAAGAATCGCTGGCAAACAGCTCTGGTGGGAGTAACGGTGGGCTTCCAGCCTATCCCGGAAGGGGGACCAATCTCAACGCTGGAGCAGAAACAGCCCCTCCTGCTTGGCCCTTGTGAGAGCAGAAGGCTGGCTTTGAGAGGCCTTCAGCTGGGCCCCAGGGTGGGGCTCCCGAGGGCCCTAATTGGTGGGAGGGGTAGGCAGGGCTCCCCATTTTCTGTTCCCTAAATGGGCTGGGATGCTTCTCACAAGCCAGATCATCTGGCGTGGATCAGAGGCACCTCAGCAGCAGCTCCCCAACGTGTGTGTGTCAAAGAAATGAGGGGACCTGCTCTGGAAATGGGTTTCTTCTTCGAAGATGGGGGGGGGGGGGGGGGGGGGATCGGGGGGCTGGGAAGAGCAGGGCTGTGGCTGATGCCTTGTTAGTGATTAGGAAGGAAGAAGATGCGGGGAGCAGCTTTCTCCTCCCTTGTGTCTGAGCCGGGAGCCGTTCACTGCATACAGGTTCCCTCTGTGGCAAGCCAGGAGTCGTGCCTAATTAACAGTCCTTTAACTGGAGGCCTGCGAGGTGCTGACGAACTTGCCTAATTAAAATGCTATCAATTTAAGTCAAAACTATGGGGAAAATCCACTGGTGGACTGTCAGCCCGTGGCCTTCATTCTGAAGTGGAGGAGCCGATGCAGCTTCCGCTGGGTGGGCGGGGGTACCTTTTCCGCAGCGGATGGGCCACTGACAGGCTTCAGTGGCTAAGGAGGGCCCAGAGCTCTTTTCTGCTTCAGAGGCCTTGGATAGGCTGAGCCGGACGTCCAGCATTTGGACCAAAATGGCCACGGACATAAATTCCCCAGAGTACCGCTAAGGAACAAAAAATGCTTGGCTCCGTTTTAGATCAAAACCCATTTTTGACCTAGTGTGCTCTTGCTGCCGCCATTGGCCCGTTCCTTTTGTGTTCCAGGCTTAAACAACGAAGAATACCAAGTGGTGATTGGCAATGACACCACCCATTATATTATTGATGACTTGGACCCGGCCAGCAACTACACCTTCTACGTCGTGGCCTATATGCCCCTGGGGGCCAGCCAGATGTCTGACCACGTCAGTCAGCATACACTGGAAGATGGTAACTGACTTCCTTGCTGAAAAAACAGTCACAGAAGACCCAGAACCCCGAGGGTTGGGCAGCGGGGGAACGGCAGCTGGCAACAGTTTAGTCCATAGAGGAGGATCCACCCTCCTGGGTTTGGTCAGACTCCGTAAGGGAGCGATCTTGGGCCACCAAGCTGCCATCGGCCAAGAGAGTCCCGGTGGGCCTTGAGTCCTTTGTGGGAACATTCTTTGCTTCGGCAGCAGAGTCCGGTGCCTGGCAGGTTCCAGCGCTTTGACCAGAGAGAGAACTGGGTCTTTCCATATGGATTATAAACCAATGGAAACAAAACATGAGGAACAGGAGAAGCGGGAGAAGCCGCAGCCCCAGGAGGGAAGTACCTCTTGACAAGGCCTCTCTCCCTTAACGCTCCGTTTCCAATCTGGCCCACAGCCTCCCTCAGGCCCTTGAAAGGGCTGACTCGGTCTTCCATCTTTCCTCCTCCTCCTTAGTCCCGCTGAGGGCTCCTGAGCTCAGCCTGACCAGCAGAACCCCTTCTGACGTCCTCATCTCTTGGCTGCCCATCCCGGTCAAGTACCGTCGCGGGGAGGTGGTGGCTTTCCGCCTCTCCTTCCGTCTCAGCACAGAGAGCAGCATCCAGGGGCTGGAGCTCCCAGGCACCACCTATCAGCACCTGCTCCGGGGGCTGAAGCCCGACAGCATCTACTTGGTTCGCATTTCTGCTGCCACAAAAGTCGGCTGGGGCGAGGCCTCTCTGTGGACATCCCATCGCACCCCAAAAGCCAGCAGTGTCAAAGGTGCCCCCTCTTTTTCCTCCAAACGAGTAGCGGAGCTATTCTGCCTAGATAGAGCTCTCCCCCACCTGAGGAAGAGTCAGGGGTTGGTTTGGAAGGTCACAGGCGTTGTCCAGTTGGGTGTAGACTGGGGGCTTTAGATGGGATGCTCCCCAGCACTGTGGCTCTTCCTTCCTTAATGACTTTGTTTGTAACAAGCAAAAAAACAAATAAAGCCAGAGGAAAAGGGAGGTTACAGGGAGAAAACGCGGCTGCTAAGATTGACGGAGAGTCCAGGGTGACTTGGCTTTCTTCTCTAGCCTTGGGGCCAGAATGTGGTGGGACCGTTTGTTTTTTGGTGATCTATGAGATGGTCAGCCATATAATTTCAGCCAATCAATCAACATGTCTAATTTTGGCAGGATTGCCTCCCATGCCCTTTATCAAATCAAAGGGTGGCAAACCACAAAAGTGGCCGAAGTTGACAGGCTGTAAGACTGGCTATCAAATCAAGGTGTAAGTTCTCCCCTGATGCTCTTAAGTAGACCCTCTCGTATCCATTCTTTCCCAGCACCAAAGTCTCCCGAATTACGCCTCGAACCCCTGAACTGCACAACAATCGCCGTGAAGTGGCAGCAAGAGCTTGCAGACATGGCTGCCATCCAAGGCTACAAGCTGTACTATAAGGAAGAAGGCCAGCAAGAGAGTGGGCCAATTCTGCTCAGGGACAGGGATTCCTCCTACACCATCGGCGGCCTGGGTGAGCAGGACCTGATGACCCTCTTGGCTCAGGGGCAGGTTTTCCTTTACCGCCATCGGGGGCAACAGAGAACAAGAAGGGTGGTCCGGGAAGGTAGGTTGTAGCCCTCACGAGGTAGCCCAGACAGGGCCCAACTTATTCGTGGGGATCGAGGGACCAGGGAGGAGGCCATGGTTGCTGCTAATGCTGGAATATTGTTGGTGTTGAAAAGGAAAAGAGGCAGCCGAATGCTCAGAGGATTGTGGCTAAGCTAAGTTAACGCTGCAGGTTGTCCACTGGCTAGAAGCAGCCAAACCATCTGTCTGGCGAGGGCGTCTGACTGGGCTGAGCCTGACCAGGAGGCATATTAGAAATGTGCTGAGCATCTCCATGGACAAGCGAGAGCGGGGTGGGATGGCAGAATCCCAATCAAGCTTGTGTCAAGCTTCCACTGGCAACATCCATTGCAGAGATGGTGCTCAGTTGGGCTCCCAGACATTCGGGTGGGAGCTTTTGAGGGGGGATTATGGGCATCGGATAGCCTCCTTGGCACAGTCCACAGTCATTTTTCAGGTTCTCCTGTCAAGCTGGCACCTGCAGAGTAGCTGCCGCTGAAGAACAGCCCTTTCCTCACCCTCCTTGCCCCAGGAAGGCTGCCTCCCCACCTGCCTTGGCTGCCCTGAAGATCCAAGGGCAGGACTACCCGCTTCCTTTTCTGGCAGGCTCTTTGTCCTTGGAAGCTGAGGCTTTTGCCTAGACACCCATGTCCCCCTGAGGCTCTGCCTGCTTCATGTCCCCTGTTTATTTTTGAATGTTCCGCATTACGTGCTTGAATTCTGGGCTGCCCCCTTACAAACAAACAACTCAGCTCCCCTGGTGATTGTGCCAAAAGTCCCAGATGCTAATTATGATTGTGGTTCTTTGAACTCATATTGCTTTCTATATTATTGCTTGGAACCTGGGCTGGTATCTTAGCCACTCTTCATTTGATCCTTCTGACATTTTCCTGGCATTGAAGTTCCCTGAGGGGGCCTTTGCAGATTTCTTTTGTTTGAGGAATAAACATAGACTTTCTTGCTTTGTGGAAGATCCTAGCCCTGCAGGAAAGGGTGGAAAGAAGGGAGATTAAAGAGGACTACAAGAACCAGGCTTATGGGTGGCCTTGTGTCCTCTTCCCTGCGCCTGGCTGGGCGAGGCTATGCTTGGGAATTGAAAGGTTCTAGTGTGTTTGGGAGAGGAAAGATGTGATTTCAGCAGGTGATAAACGCCTCGTGGAGATGGCTTTCCCAGGGGGCTTCTGCTGACCTCCCACCCTCAGAGTATCTTCTGGGGGAGCGGGGTGAAGAGGAAAGTTTATTTGACTCGGAGGCATGACCAAGGAGCCACCCTGGGAAAGCCTTGCCACTGGGAAAGCCCACGGCTTCTGCAGAAGTCTGACGTTGGGTCAGTCCTGATGCTTCAGTTGCATAGGCTCCGTTTGCCTCGGGTTACGAAGGCTCCACTCCCTCCACAAGTTGACTCAGCTGGCCATGAGTCCGTTCCCAGGGGCCTCTGTTGAAGAATCCTTTCCACCACATCCTCCGCCGCCTTCCTATAACTTCCCTGGCTCTGCTGCCAGGTCCCTCACGATTGTTCTCTTAAGCTTGGTGCTAACTAGTGAAAAAAGAGAGGAGCCTTGAGGCCTGTAGCAGGGAACCACCTCCAGATGGCAAGAAAGCCACTTCTAGGACCCCTGATGGAGGTTGAGGTTCTGGACTCCCAAGAGGAAGGACAATCTCTGCCATTTTTTTAAAAATGAAAATTCTAAGGCTGAAAGCGGAGTTGCCAAGTGGAAGGTCGCCTCAGTCCTTATGGGAATTCCCTGGATGAGGCAGTTTAGCCAGGAGGCCAAAGGACAGTCTTAAGAGCCGTCTAACTCTGAAATTGGAGGGCAAGTCTAATGTGTCAGTAGCCGCCAGTAGCCAAATCAACTCTCCTTCCCCGGCCACGCAGCCTAGGGGAAGGTGGGCTGTCTCTAGGGGCTGAGCAGTTTGTGTCCCAATTCTGCCAAGGAGATGCTGGCCCATGAAAAGCAAAGGCTTGGCAAGCGGTGAGTCTGGAGGATCTGCCTGATTGTGGCTGTAGGTCATTGGAGGTATCACCCAAGGCAAGCCGTTGACCACCCAAGGTGGGATGGTGGTTCTGGAACAGAGCATTCCCCTGTGGTGTGAAATAAGATGTTTTCCCTTCAGTTTCTGCCCGAGGAGAGAAGGTGTGTACTCTGTATATTCTCCTGGTGAATATTCCATCTTGAATTAATCTCAGGAAATATCTGAAATGAAAGGCGTTTAAAGGATATGGAAGAGACATAAGGTGATCCATCCATCTCCCTTCTCTGCTCTGGGCCTTTTCGTCTCAGGAAAACACAGACACAACCAAAGGGTGGCCTTGTTTTTATTAAGAGACGTCACTGGGAATCAGGAGGTGTGACCCAGCTGGAGTTGCAGGAAATCCATGTTTGTTCTGGACCTCTATGCCCAGAGCTGCTTCTGGAGACCCTCGGACAACCTGCTGTCTTCTGTAATTTTCTCACTCTACAAGCTATGCTACAACTGACAGTCGTGCCAGCTGAGATGATGGCGTTTTCACTCTCTTCCATGGGAGGGAAGAGTTTTTGAAGACCCCGAAGGCTTTACGGGAAGAACGCGTGAGCTTCCCCTTCTGTGCAAGAGTCTTGCCTTGCATTAGGCTCGACAAACTACTCCTGGTGAAAAGATTGCCTCAGGCCCTTATTGTACTTCGAAGGCATCGTAGCCTCCGGCAGTCAGCAAGGGAAGGTGGCAGCATCTGGGGGAGTCAGAGAGGGTGAAGCAGGTGGGCTCCGCCTTTGGCTCCTCAAGAATCAGCAGCCCTAAAGAGCTCCACAGCCAATCGCATGCCACAGCATGGATCATCATCAGGCTGTCTGAAATTCAAACCATTTGGGGTTGGCTAAAGTGGTTCCTGCCTCTTAATTAAAAGATTGATGTGCAGGTCAAGCTTAACAAGAATTTTGCTGCCATGTGCCTTCTAAGGCAGATGTGCTCACCATGAGTGTGTCATGGAAAATGTGGCCCAATTGTTTTTAGGACTGATTTGCCTCCTTTCTTGAGGTGTGGCTGGAAGCAGAGCTAAAGGTCCCTCAAGGCTTTGTCCATCTATCTATGTGGGGGCCCTTTGCGAGGGTGGGAGCTCTTCCATCCTGAGGATGTTTGTGCTTTTATTCTGACATTTTTCCACTGTTTTCACTCCTGGGAGAAAACACGAATGTAATTCTCCTTTCTCTGTGAAGAATCTTTAGAATGCAGTTGTACATACTTGTTCTTGGGTGTTTACAATTTGGGAATTACACTATATTTCCTTGAGATAAACCCTGCTCTTTTCAATCCCAACTGAAAAAGCAGAGGCTTTTGAAGAGACCGAAAGCCTGAGGAAATGAAGTCAACATTCTCCATTGATCATTTGGGGGATCAATCAACCCACCAGCCCAGATGCTCCTCTGGTGAGGTCACTAAAGGTCTGGCCAAGTCGGATGAGAGGGAGAGCTTGTTAAGTGCCATTAGCACATGAAAGGGGTTCCGGAGTTAGAAGACCTGGGTTGGTGGATGCCTGTTCTGTCTGCCTGTGTCTAAAACCAAAAAGGACCATTTGAACATGGATTAAAAGCTTTAGTGGTCTTTGCTCATAGGTTTTGTTGCCATCCAGAGCTTAAGATTTTGAAAAGGGGGTTCATACAAATTCAAGGACTGTAGAGAGATTTTCTGCTTTAGGCAAGAGTTGATAGACCCAGCAAAGGATCCTTTGGCCTCAGAACGAAAAGAATCTCACTTCCCACCAGGATCCCCTTCCCTTCCTGGGTGGAACTGGAGATTCCAAGCTCTTCTATACAGCCCTCCTAACTCTCTGCAAACATGGGCCTGGTAGTCTTAGCACATCTGGAGATGCTGAGTTGGGAAAGGCGCCCTTGAGATTGGCCAGGCAAGTGAGGGAGCTATGTGGGAAAGGGATCTTGCGCAGATGGAATGGAATAGAATAGAGAATAGAGAATAGAATAGAATAGAATAGAATAGAATAGAATAGAATAGAATAGAATAGAATTCTTTATTGGCCAAATGTGATTGGACACACAAGGAATTTGTCTTGGTGTAAATACTCTCAGTATACATAAAAGCAAAGATACATTCACCAGGAGTCGAGAATCTTGCACAGATAATGGTCTTCTTCTCTGGGCACTTCTTGAGGATATTTGACCAGCGGGCATTGAGCCACCCCGAGTCACACAGGGCAAGGACTATGGATGTGGCTTTTATTTTGCCTCTCCAGAGGACCCAGCACAACCCACAGAGTTAGTTTTAATGGCAGAACTATTATTATTATTATTAGTAGTAGTAGTAGTAGTATTTAGGTGGTAGGTGGTTACTATTAGCTGATGATTAGAGCATTGTGAATGGACTCTCTTTGTCCTGCAATTGGCTGCACCGCCGATGTGGGACGTTTCTTGGTTTGTCTAGAAAGCTTTTAGAGGAAGGGCTTGGTCTGCAGACAAAAGAGTTGTGGGATTATCTGGCCTCTTTCCTTTTCTGTTCCCCCACACCCTTGTGTTCCCCTGGTGTGTGTGTGTGTGTGTGTGTGTGTGTGTGTGTGTGTGTGTGTGTGTGTG